GAGCGGGATCCCGAGCGTGGCTTCGCTTGCCTTTGCTTTTTCCTTGCGTGTCACCCGTGCTCGGCCCGAGCGGGATCCCGAGCGGGCAAGCCTGGCCGCTTTCGTCCTTGCAGGCGCTTGGGCGTTGCATCCATAGCTGGCCCGAGTGGACTCCCGAGCGTGACGGTGTTGGTCCTTATCTGCGCCTTGGCACGGGTTTGGCCCGAGCGGGATCCCGAGCGTGTCTGCTTTGGTCCTTACCAGCGCCTTTGCGCGGCATCTGTGCTCGGCCCGAGCGGGATCCCAAGCCTGTTTGCAGGCGCGGCCCCGGCAAGACTTCGAGCCTATTTGTGGGCTTAAGAGTAAAATCAGAGGACGGTGCTTCTTCAGGATTATGGACTTGTCTTTTTCTTGCGGGTAACTCGGACAACGCGAGCTTCTTGATGATGTCGTTGATGTGTGCTACGGGCGTCCTTTCAAGTCGCAAGAAGCATTGCTTCAGGGGTGGAGTTGCCAGGCTTTTATAGGGGCCCGTTGTTTGTGAATCCCAAAGCCAAATTCAATTGTCAAGACAGCTATTGCAGTAGAGAAGCGGGTTGGCAGGCGTGATGCAAAGAGCCCTGGCTGACACGGCCAAACGAGGCGCAAGAGGGTCTGGCGTGTGCTAACTGCGTCCGCGCTCGCCCCGGAAATCCCGAGCGGTGCTTCGCGTGGCATCCGTGCTCGGCCCGAGCGGGATCCCGAGCGGGCTAGCGAGCCTGGCCGTTTTTGTCCTTTCAGCCGCCTGCGCGTTACCAGCGCCTTGCGCGGCGTCTGTGCACGGCCCGGGCGGGGCCTCAAGCCTGTTTGCGGGCGCGGCCCCGGCAAAACTTCGAGCGTATTTGTGGGCTTTCAAGAGTGAAACCAGAGCACGGTGTTTCTTCAGGATTATGGACTTGTCGTTTTCTTGCTGGTAAGGCTTTTACACAGTTTCCTAGCCCAGCTTGAGTTCGGGACTCGATGGCCCAACTGTTCCGCTACGATAATGCATTTGCATTTGGATGCCAAATGGTGCAACACTCGGACAATGCGAGCTTCTTGATGATGTCGTGTTTTGTTGCTACGGGCGCCCTTTCAAGTCGCAGGAAGCATGGCTTTAGGGGTGGAGCTGTCAGACTTTTAGGGGTGGAGTTAAGGCTGCCCGTTCTTTTAATTCCGAAAGCCGAATTCAATTATCAAGACAGCTGGGCTGCCCTTGCAGAAAACGGCGAGTACTGTAGGAGAAGCGCGTTGGCAAGCGTCTGGCTGACACGGCCAAACGAGGCGCAAGAGAATCTGGCGTGTGCTAACTGTATGGCTTCCGCAAGTGACACCTTTGCGTGGCATCCGCGTTCGCCCCGAGCGGGATTGGCTTCGCTTGCCTTTGCTCTTGCCGTTGCGCGGCACCCGTGCTCGGGCCGAGCGGGATCCCGAGCGGGCTACGCCTGCGCGCTGCATCGTTGGTCCTTACCTGCACCTTCGAGCGTGTCTGCTTTGCTTTGGTCCTTACCAGCGCATTTGCGCGGCGTCTGCTCGGCCCGAGCGGGATCCCAAGCCTGTTTGCGGGCGCGGCCCCGGCAAAACTTGTGGGCTTTCAAGAGTAAAACCAGGGCACGGTGTTTCTTCATGATTGTGAACTTGTCTTTGTCTTGCGGGTAAAGCTTGTACACGGTGCCCAAGTCAGCTTCACTTCGAAACTTGGTGGCCCAACGGTTTTGCTACGATAATGTGTTTGCGTTTGGACGCAAAACTCGGACAATGCAAGCTTCTTGATAGTGTCGTTTTATTCTACGGGCGCCCTTTCAAGTTGCAGGAAGCATTGCTTTAGGGTTGGAGTTGCCAGGCTTTCAGGGGTGGAGTTGCCAGGCTTTTAGGGGCCCGTTGTTTGTGAATCCCAAAGCCAAATTCAATTATCAAGACAGTTGGGCTGCCGTTGCAGGAAACGGCAAATACTGTAGGAGAAGCGCGGTTGCATCCTGGCTGGCTGACACGGCCAAGCGAGGTGCAAGAGGGTCTGGCGTGTGCTAACTGTATGGCTTCCGCAAGAGGGTCTGAGGCCTTTGCGTGGCATCCGCGTTCGGCCCGAGCGGGATCCGAGCGGGATTCCGAGCGTGGCTTCGCTTGCCTTTGCTTGTGCCCTTGCGTGGCACCCGTGCTCGGCCCGAGCAGAAACTCGAACGCGGTTGCTCTTCCATTTGCTGACGCCTGTTGCGTGGCATCCGTGTCGCCCCAAGCGGGAGCCCGAGCGTTTGTACGTTTGCCTGCCAAAGTGTACTTTGTCTATTACACTTGTACTGACAAGTTGCGACCATTGAGCTGGAGCTGCCAAAGTGTATTTCCTTACTACACTTGTACTGAAAAGTTGCGACTTTTGTGCCGGAGCTGCCAAAGTGCGTTTCCTTTACTACACATGTGCTGAAAAGTTCTGACTTTCGAGGCGGAGCTGCCAAAGTGTACTTCCTTTACTACACTTGCACTGACAAGTTGCGACCTTCGAGCCGGAGCTGCCAAAGTGTATCTCCTTGTGCTGAAAAGTTGCGACTTTCGAGCCAGAGCTGCCAAGGTGTATTTCCGTTACTGCACTTGTACTGACAAGTTGCGACCTTCGAGCCGGAGCTGCCAAAGTTTCCTTGTACTGAAAAGTTGCGACTTTCGAGCCGGAGCTGCCAAAGTGTATTTCCTTTACTGCACTTGTAGTGAAAAGTTGCGACTTGCGAGCCGGAGCTGCGTTGCTGGATTTCTACACGTTAACGCGGTAGAATTTGGCACATGGCAATCCATTTGTATGTTGGCAAACTCTTGTCTTTCACCCTGACAAGTCGTGGGACACAAAAGAGCCACGGACAAAACACGTGTAGACCACTTTGGTAAAGGGGGTACTCTTTGGCCTACGACTCCAAAAAGCCACGGACAACGATACGGTCTCCCCCAAAAACGATAACCGTTAGTTAACACGTGGCTCTACAATGACCCCTGCAGTTGCAGCTTAGTTGGGGTGGGACCCTTGCGTGGCCGCCGTAAAACGCTAAGGCGAGTCGCGACTTGTGTTCTTCGCGCGTGCTCGGCTTGTGCTACAAAGTTGCGATTTTCGCGCTGGAGCTGCGGAAGTGCACTTCGCGTACTAGACTTGTACTACAAAGTTGCGATTTTCGAGCTGGAGCTGCGGAAGTGTGCTTCGCGCACTAGACTTGCGCTACAAAGTTGCGATTTGGAAGTGTGCTTCGCGTACTAGACTTGTACTACACAGTTGCGATTTTCGAGCTGGAGCTGCGGAAGTGTGCTTCGCGTACTAGACTTGTACTGCAAAGTTGCGATTTTTGAGCTGGAGCTGCGGAAGTGTACTTCGCGCACAGACTTGTACCACAAAGTTGCGATTTTCGAGCTGGAGCTGCGGAAGTGGGCTTCGCGCACTAGACTTGCACTACGATTTTCGAGCTGGAGCTGCGGAAGTGCACTTCGCGTGCTAGACTTGTGTGCTACAAAGTTGGGATTTTCGATCTGGAGCTGCGGAAGTGTACTTCGCGTAGCTAGACTTGTGCTACAAAGTTGCGATTTTCGAGCCGGAGCTGCCACAGTTCGAAAACACTGTAACACAATAATAACATAACGTTCAACAAAGTACTAGGGCCAAGTAAAGCATCACCTATCCACGCAAGCTCCATGTAAGCCAGTTCACCGCACACCCTTCTTCCATCATAGGCTCACTGGGTTCTGCAAGTTTCTACGCTTAGTGAAGATTTGACACGTGTGCTTCCATGAACATTCGACAAAGCGTATGTAGCCCTTTGATGTTCTGTTCGCCTGCCCAAAGCCAGAGAGCCCCATGTGCGACCTGTTGACCGCTGTTTTGGGTTTCAGGGTGTGGCAGGTGTGTGCTAACTGTTCAGGGTTGACGGGGCATTCCGGCCAACACAGTAATGTGCTATCTGGAAAAAAGTGCTAACTGATTGATACGCACTATACTACACGTGTGCTGAAAAGTTGCGACTTTCAAGCTGGAGCTGCCGAAGTGTACTTTCTTTACTACGCTTGTACTGGACTTTCGAGCCGGATCTGCCAAATCTACTTCCTTTGCTACACAAAGTTGCGATTTTCGAGCCGGAGCCGCCAAAATGTACTTCCTTTACTACGCTTGTACTGAAAAGTTGCGACTTTCGAGCTGGATCTGCCAAATCTACTTCCTTTACTGCATTTGTACTGAAAAGTTGCGACTTTCGAGCCGGAGCTGCCAAGGCATACTTCCTTGTAGTGAAAACTTGAGACTTCCGGGCAGGAGCTGCCAATGCGTACTTCCTGTACTACACTTGTACTGAAAAGTTGAGACGTCCGGGCTGGAGCTGCCAATGCGTACTTCCTGTACTACAGTTATACTGAAAAGTTGCGGCTTTCGAGCCGGAGCTGCCAAAGTGTACTTCCTTTACTACACTTGTACTGAAAGTTGCGACTTTTGAGACGGATCTGCCAAGTGTACTTCCTTTACTACACTTGTACTGAAAAGTTGCGACTTTTGAGACGGATCTGCCAAGTGTACTTCCTTTACTAGTACTTGTACTGCATTGCGAAAGTTGCTCGTTTCAGAAAGCGTATCTCTGCCCACAACCAGAGAGGCATGTGCTAACTGTTGGTCGCCCCTTTCGGTTTCGGGTGTGGCAGGTGTGTGCTAACTGTTCGGGGGGGGCATTCCGGCAAATTCAGGGATGTGCCAACTGTGCCGCCTGCTAAAAAGTGCTAACTGATAGATACGCACTATAGGCTGGCAACTTGGCAGTTTGATGAGCTCAAGGTTCCCTTGTCATTTGAACACCGGTAAAGTCACGACTCCCCCTTTGAAAGGCTTTGCTGGGCTCAACAGATACAATTGGATGCCATGAGGACCATCTTGGGGGCAATGTTCAGGTCTGAAGAAGGTCCCGAAATTGGGGAACATCGAATTTATGGTCTTCCAAGCCTCCCCGCAAATGTCGAACGGTTCCGTGTGAAAGCCGGGGTACATCCCGCCACAGGACGGCTTCGCCGCCTTCTTCGGCTATGCCGAGGTGGAGGCCGAAGTGAAGCCGCAGAAGCCGCAGGACTTTCCATCGATCGCTCCAGTTTGTCCTGGTACACCTCCTTTTGGTTCTTTTTGTTTTCTTCTTTGAGTTGGTACAAGGTTTTCTTTTTTGGTCGTTTTAAAGGGAAGCCAAGAGGAGAACCGCAATTTTGGGGGTCCAACCTTAAAAATGACCAACCCCAAACCTCCAGCAAAAGTTTACCCTCCCTCCTGTAAACATGCAACCTGTCCGGTCCTGGTTTGCGCCGTTTCTTCAGTGGGCCATGTGTTTTTTGGGGTTCCATAGCGGTTCTGCCTCATTCAACTCTGGACCCAAAAACTGGCTCCAGGGTTGGGCGATTCAAACCCCAATCTCCTAGGGAACGCCACTTGGGTGTGGCTCAAACATAGGGATCGGCCCCAACTGTTCCTTTTTCCTGGTAAATGTTCAAAGGTAGACTCACGTTGCTGCACTTGTTTTTCTAGCTCTAAGTTTTTGTGAGCTACACCCACTCTTTGGTGCATTCTGCTTGGATGTTAGGACTTTAGCATTTTTTCCAACTAATGGGTTTTCCATTAAACCACTGAAATTTAAACTTTAGGCAGGGGAGCAGAAAGCAACCGAGCAAACTGGGGTTTCACGCGGAGGACGCCTTTCAAGAGTGGTATGGCTATGAGGAGTCGGTGCAAGAAGCCCAGATTATGCATCTCCCAGACCGCCGCTTGACCCGCTCGGAGTGACTTTGTCGTGGCGGGGCAATTGGTTCGACCAAGGATCCTCAAAAGCACCCGCTGACTTTTTGGCTATTTGGTAGCGGATCTTTGGACTTCAACTTTTGGGCTGAAACAGTGGGATTTTCCATTGGACCCACAAGAAACTAGAAACCTTTTGCAGCGGGGTCAACTGCAACCAAGCTTAGGAATCTGGTTTCTATGTCCCTTTTTTGGGGGGTTTGTTCGTGTTTGCAAGCTGCCGGGGAGGTTCGTTCACAACACCCAGGAGCTGAGGGCGAAAACTAGGAGGGACAGGAGACTCAGAAATTTGTTGTAAACCGTGGGGACAAGGCCGAGTTTTAACCCACATCCACTGCTAAGCTGGGTGGCCAACATAGCACATTTTGACATTGTCCCTACAGGAAGCTGATAGGGCATGGCCAAGATGTCCTTTTTCCAGATTTTTGAAGGGTGTTTCTCAAAACAGGGATTGGTCGCCTAAAATGGCTGGTTTCCTTGTTTGGCTTCTCTCTGAATTCCAACTTAGAGAGACACTCGCACACACACGCACACCCAACTGACACCCAGTTGGGGTCCGGATAATAATATATATATATATATATATATGTGGAACCCCCGACCCATTCAGCCAAAAACAGCTCAAAATTAGGGGGAAACAGCTAAACTATTCAAAGAAAAAACAAGATCTTCTGGAGGAGGAAAGCTAGAGGACGATTGGCCCGAAAGCATTTTTCCCCAAGCGCTCTTCCAGCCGCGGAGACACCTTTTTACATCGATGCGGCGAGCGTGTCTGCACGCGGCGATGCTCAATGTGTATGGTCGCATGAGAGCTCCATCCCCTCGTCCTACGAGAGGAAACATGGCAGTGTCTGCGCAAGCTGCATTGTTGCAGGCTGCTGCGCGCAAGTTGCTCTCTGCAAGCTTTTGCGTGCAAGTGGCTCGACATCTGTCTTCAAGCTGTTCTGCGCACGTTGCTCTGTGCAAGTTTCTCTCCGCAAGACGCTCGGCGCTTGTATCCGTGCGCAAGATGCTCAGCCTGAGCTGAGCTGTGGAGGTGCTCCGCGCACTATACGTCTGCGCTTCAGGGTTGCGATTTTCCGGTCGGAGCCACCAGGAGTACACTCCACATACTACGGCTTCTTTGCTTGAGCCGGAGCTGCCGCGGACCAGGGGGGAATCGAACCCGACCGCGCGATTGCGAAAGCAGGCGCGCAAACCACGAGACACTTCCAAAGGCCATTTCGCGAGTAATAAAATCGCACGGCGCCGCAGAGAGCGCTTCGACACGCACGATCTCAACAGAGGGTTCGCCGAGACTAAAACGAATTCGCACGGCGCAGCGAGAGCGCGTCGACATCGTGCCCGCATCCGCGCGCCGCAAAAAAGCAAAAACACCTCTAGCTTTTGCACCTCGACTACGCCGATCCCTGCAGAGCGCCGCCACCCCGATCGACGATCAAAGTCCTGCCCCAGCGCCCTAGAAACCTAAACTTCACTCACATAGCTGCTATCGCCGAAGCGCTATGCACTTGGCTCTATGCACTTGGCTCTATGCACTTGTCTCTATGCACTTGGCTGTATGCACTCGGCTCTATGCACTTGGCTCTATGCACTTGGCTCTATGCACGGCTCTATGCACTTGGCTCCATGCGCTTGGCTCTATGTATTTGACTCTGCGCAAGTGACTCTATGCAAGTTGGTCCGAGAGCTCCGCGCGGAAGAACCCTTCGCGATGCTTTTGGTGAAAAACAAGGCCTTTTGGAAGAAGCCCCGGTAGCACATATATATATACACATATATATATATATTGAAAATTACACATGTATGTATATTGTACCCCCCCCATGGACTGTGGTTTGGTGAGTTTGAGCTGTGTTTTCCAGCGTGTTATGCCTTTTTTTGCCTCTCTGTCATGGTTGTTTGTTTTTTTGTTGGGGCCAAGAGTATTGGAACAACTCCGATTTGTTGTTATTTTTTGTTTAATCCGAGATTCAAGATTCAAGAATCTGAGAAGAATTGGGAACCTTGAATCTTGAATCCCATATTTTCTTTAAACAAAAAAGACAGGGTTGTTCCAACACCAAGTATGCGCACCCATCTGCACTCATATGCAGTTTATCTGTCACCCCCCAAGTTCCCGCAATGTCTGGATTCAAAGAGAGAGGACACGATTAGTGGAAAAGCTTTCTGTGAAAGATTCCAATACTGAATCTTGAATCCAGTGGTAGAAATTGCTTTTGAGGTTTAGAACAACTTGAAAAGTTTTGGGGGTTGGCCAGGATGGATGACTCTCAGGAAAGTTGTTGTTTGTGCAATCTTTAATTTTGAATCCTCAATCCAGTGGTAAAGCACTTTCGAGCGTTAGAACTTGAATCTTGTTTGGGTTTGGCCAGGATTGACGATTCTCAGGAAAGGTTTCTCTGCAATCTTCAATCTTGAATCTTCCATCCGGTGGTAAAATACTTTCAAGTGCTGTGCGATCCGGAGGAAATCATTTCAAGTTCTAAATTACACAAACTTTCAAGTGCTTTTGGTGAGCGGTTCGCTTCATGTAAGCTATGCTCGTGTTGACCGTTTTCCAGGAGGTAAAGGTAGGTGTAATGCTGAACGCACTGTGTTTTAAAGCATTGTATGAAGAGGCGCAGGATCATGAGGGGTTCCTATGTATCTATCTATCTATCTATCTATCTATCTATCTATCTATCTATCTACCATTAGACTTCTGTATTCAGGTAGAATTTAATAAAGCGTTCTTTCCATCAATCGAACTTTGCAGGGAATAATTTCAAGTGAAAGCCAAAGTAGGACTTACCTATCAGATAGGACTTTAGTCAAAGTTAATTGCTATGAACATGAAAGTTGAATGTCTAGTTCGATTGATAATTTAAGTAGGAACTCTTTTCCAAACATAATTTGATGAAATATAACTGCAATTTAAAAAGGCATGTGGAAAGGCAATGGATAGTAGCAGACGAAGCAGTTGGACGAAGCAGTGGAACGAAGCAGTGGGACGAAGCAGTGGGACGAAGCAGAGGGACGAAGCAGTGGGACGAGGCAGTGGGACGAAGCAGTGGGACGAGGCAGTGGGACTAGACCGAGTTTCGGCGAGCAGTGGCTCAGATTAGTAAAGGTGGAAGTTGATGAGCATACTTGCGAAAATGGAAGATGTGCAGAGGTGAACTGTAATGGCACACAATGTATGTGTAAATTTTACATAGTAGTTGATTTACCTTAGATCTATTAGCAGATTCCAATATGTTAGAAGCAATTTTGTTATAGAATTTAATAGGAACTACCACCTGCATTTGGACATAGTTTCTGTTTTACAGCTATTTCTTGTGATTATTCTTTCAATTTCATGCTTAATTCCATTGAAATGTTCTTCACTAGGTGGATCATGGCAGGGTGATCACATGTATTAAATATATATATATATACCTATATTCGCATATAGACATGTTTTTGAGGGTACCCCTTGTTCACCTTGTTTTTTTTGGTTTTGAGGGTTGGTGGACAGAACTCATGTGCGCCAGATTCTGGCGTCCCGGGAGTCCCCAAACGAGCAAGCCCATGGTGAAGGATCATATCTTTCCCCTGCTTGGTTTTGGAAGGCGAACAGACAGGAGCATGCCGTGGATGGGCGAAATGCAGTTGGGATGAATGAAGCCCGAAAAACATGGGCAGAAACCCCCCACCATGTTGCCCATACTGTGGATGGACGAAATCCATTTCGCACGACTTTGAAACCATGTGAATGAAACCGCTTCTTGTTTTTATTTGCAGTTGGGAATCGAACATCATTCCAGGGTTTCTGAATTCGGTGGTGCGAGACGCATGGATTTGGCGAAACCATCCATACTGTGGATGCACGAAATCCTGCACTACCCAAGAAACCAATAGTTGAAACCATGGTTCGTTGGTATTTGACGTTGGGGAATCGAATCATTCCAGGGCTTCTTACACCGCTTGGGATAGATGCAGCCCTGTCCATAGTGTTTTTGGCAAACCCCCTACCCGCTGGGTGCGGGATTTCGTCCGTAGCACGGACCGGACGCTATCCGCAGGGTGGGGCAAAATATGGTTTGTTTGAACACCACCTTCACAAGAAGTCATCATCAGAGCCAATGGTTTACCAGAGCTCCTTAAAAGATACATGTTGCAACCATTTGAAACATGTTTCTTTTTCAGCACCAAAATAGAGGGAAAGAGCACCATTTACAAGTTGCAATGTTCAGGGGTACAATGCATCCGGATCCCCGTTGAAGCATGTTCAAACCAACGGGTAGCCGCCTCCGAGGAGATCCCTGCTCCGTGAACGATGAGAGCTGCCAGCGACTGGCCGTCGAGGCGACCGAGGCCAGCCTGGCTCTGCTGAAGGAAATCATCGAAGAGAGGCCCGGCGAAGGATCTCCTCGGCGATTTCGTTTTCGGTTTGCTTGTTTTTATGTTTGTTTTTTTTCTCTTTGCCATTTTTTTTAAATACCAATATTCTTATTATTATCATTTTTCTTTATTATTATCACTATTATCATTATCATTATTAGTGTTAATATTTTGCTTTGTTTTTTGTTGTGGCCGAGGAAGAGGACAGAGATGCTGCTTCAGCAGGGTGATGACAAGCTGCGGCTTCAGCAGGAGATCTACCTGCTGAAGCTTCAGCAAAGTCGCCTGGCCCACGGGATCTGGAGTCTTCACATGGAGCCCGGCACGGAGTTGGACTGAAGCCATGGAGCTGGTTGGCTCATTCTTTTGCCGGTTTCTGGGGGTTATCAAAGTCAGAAATGGAACCTCTACCACCCTCAAAGTGGTTGGCCGTGCCAAGAAAACCCGGAAATTCCCACATGGTTTTACAGAGGTCATGATTTTTTGCCGGTTTCTGGGGGTTATTTTTAAAAGCCAGGAAATGGAATCTGTTGTTTCCGTTTAAGCCACCGCTTAGGGGGTGACTTTGATCGTAGCAAAATAATGAGGCCAGTGGATGGCGATTGATGTGCCCGGCCTTGTACAAAGTCAGTTCGACTGAGTCAGTCCTCGGAAGCTGGGTTGGGACGCTGGGATTGAGATGCGGGTTGGTGTTGCAACCTGTTGCTACAACTTGGCTCACTCTATCCAAGCCACAAGTCATGTGGTCAGGAGGCCCGGTGCTTGATTGGGCACTTTGGTGCAAGACCTGTTCCAACAGGTCGAGTTTGTTGCCCAACCCACGCGTTGTCTAATTCATCGGACGGAGTTTGGGAGCCAGATTCAACTCCGAGGAGGGGTTTCAGAATCTGATTCCTATTGCAAGCTCCCCCAATCTTTCTTATCCCGGCCGTGATTTGGTTCAAAAGGACCACCTTTTGCACAGACTTGTCGCACATATGCCATGTACAGTAAGTGGATGAGCCGCCGGTGCATCTCAACAGTTGAAATTCCTCTGAAAAAGATTCACTGCGCTTGGAGGGCGAAGTCGACTGGAAGCTGCTCTTGGGCGTGCGGCAAGCTGGGCGTAGGTGTGTCGACTCAAAGCAAGCCAGCCCCCCGAACCTAGGCGTGCCTTGATGAGAGGGTCTCGAGATGGGGGCCCCGTCGCCTTGGGTTGCCAAAGCATTTGCTTGATGTGGTGACTGTGGCAGGGACACTGAAGGCATGGCTGGCATTGGGATGTTGTAGCACGCATTCCTGTTTTGCACAGGATTGCCAAGCATGCCATGCCCAACAACGACAGACACGCCCGACATACATTCCTCAGGTTTCAGGCTGATCAAGGACTTTTGGAGACCTGTCTGAATGGTGGCGCTGTCTCCATCCCAACAGCTATTTGCAGACCCCAACAGCGATTTGATCAGGACACGAGTTCTTCGGGGTGGAATTTGGATAGGGAAACCCCAGGCCCATACAATGAGGATGCGCACTACGTTGCAGGTTTGATGGTGATGGACAGACACCGTGGCACCAGTTGGGATGGGCGCAGCCTTTATAGGAAGAACGCCTAGCAACTGGCACGCAAAAAAATTGGCAACTCTGCTTGCTGCTGCGATAGGTAGGGAATGACCTTCTGGGCGTTGGGAATGGAAGCGGAAGGGGATTCCCCAGTTGGATGGATGAGTTTATGGGGGGTAATTCGCATATCTCATTCCCGTCATTCCCTGCCTATGAACCAGCAACGACACAATCAGCAGTGCTGGCTCTCTCGGGTTCTCAGGTCTTGGGACTGAAGCCGGTCGTTTCAATGGACGCCACCAGCAATTTGATTTTGGGGGGTTTTTCCGAAGGTGCCCCTCCAGGGGTGGGTTCCCCATTCTTTTCAACCATCATTATTTTCCAAAAAAAGCTTTTTCCTCTGGGGTTCTGATGGTTTTCTGAAAAGATTCGGATCCCTGGAAAGGATGGAAAAATGGAAGGTGCCCCTAGAAAAGCTGACCCCCCGAGTTCGTCGTTGGGCGCATTGCCTTCGATGCCAGGCGCGAAGCGGCGGCGCCTGCGCCGCTCCTGCAAGGCCACCCCTCTGAGACTCTGCGGCCTGGGAAGCGCACCTCTGGGTGCCCTACTGATGGACCAAATCTGATTCGCAACGCACCACCGGACTCAGAAAGCCTGGAATGATTTTCGATTCCCCAACGTCGATACCAACAAAGGTTATGGTTTCAACTTTCAACCATAGTTTCAAAGTGGTGCGAAGTGGATTTCGTCCATCCACAGTATGGGTTCTTTTGGCTTTGGGAAACTTGAGAGTTCAGGGGGTTGTGGGGTTGATCCAACCAGTGTGATACAAGTTGGAAGGTTCTCTTTATATAGGGGAATTAGTCTTTGGGAGGCCCTTTTTGTATCACAGAAGTAGTCATTTCCCACAGCCCTGTTTGCGGCATTTGGGTGTGTCCTTTTTTCCAACCACTTGTGGCAAAACGGGTTTTCCTGTGGCGTCATGAGACCACCACCCGCTTTTTTGAGGGTACCGAGCCTTAAGAAAAAGGCGAGCCACCACCCGCCTTTTTTTAGGATACCGAGCCTCAAAAAAACAGGCGAGCCACCGTCCAAGCCAGCCATGTCCCGCTTTTCAGTTCGACTTTGGGCATATCAACAGTGATGGAACACAAGAAGCGGAGGCAAGCAGCGAGGAGGTTGCCTGGCTCTTCGGTGTTTGCTCAGAGCCAAATGGCTGTGGTTGTCAAAACGAATGGGATCCCATTTTGCGGTAGGTGCACCACCCATTTTAGTCTATTTGAGTGGGGATTGGGATGTTCACTGGGGGTACGGGACTTTGATTCATGGCCAAACCAAATGTCCGGTTTTTGGAGACCCTTTTGAACTCGTCTAACGTGAATTGACCAAAAAAGGCCCTCCTTCCGGAACCCTCTGAGTGGCGAAGGCTCCGCGTTCTCTTTTCCCTTTGCCTTTGCGCCCTGAAAAGCGGAGGATTTCGTTGACACATTCCCATGTGTTGATGCATGTGCGGGGGACTGTTGGTGCACCGGACCTCTTTTTCAGAACACGCAGTGGTTAAGACGTCTTAAGATAGGGAGCCCTCCTCAAAAGGGCTTCCGTCTCCTCTTGGCTTCCCGTTTTTCAATACCGCCCCCAAACAGGGGCAACGCTCTCGCTGCCAGGCACCTCCAGCAACCAGTTGGGCACCTCAGAAGGCGAATCGAGATCTGGCGGTGGCTCAAAAAAGTGGGGCGAAAATGGCACCTTGGCAAATGGAACCAAAGACTAAAGCCCGCGCAACCCCGGCTCTTTAATTTTGAGCCATGCCCATTTGTTTGTTTTGGTCACCCCTTGCTGTTTGGAGCCCTGTTCGGATTTGGACTAGAACCGAGGTTCGTTTTTTCGTCCTGTCGGAGAAGGTCGTCACCTTTTATGTCCAGGTCCTGGCAGGTGAGCTTTCGGTTTTGCCTTTCAAACCGCCATCAAAGAGAGGGGTAGCCTCCAAAATGGGGGAGGCATGCAATAGGGACCCATGTTTGGGATCCGGGATTTGACGATTCACACAGGGTTCAATCTGACGGGGTCTGAAAACTTCGGGACCAGTTGGGCGAGCTTTGACTTTGGTGCATTTTGCCAAGGGATGTTAGGACTGAACAACTTTTTGCCAACTCATGGGTTTTCCGTATTAAACCACTAAAAGTTAGTGGAAGAAACAGAATGGTGTTCAGTAATGTCTAAAGGTACTGAAAACAACCCTTGGTGCTCAGTTGGAGTGTTGGCGGCCTGCTGTAGTCTGCAGCATGCCAGCGGTCTTTGTAAGTCATCTATGTGAAATGTACAGGGGATGGCCAAGGTCACTTTTCGCAGGGCTTCGCAGATTTCGCAACCGAGTTGAGATCGCCATACATGGGCAGCTGAAGCGTTGGAAGCGTTGGCAGCCAAAGATCAAATCGGATTCCTCCATAGAAGCTCGATACACCAGGGCTCCTTAAAAGATATATTTTGCAACCATTTGAAACATGGCTTTTTCAACACCAAAGTAAAGGGAAACAACAACATTTACAAGGCAATGTTCAGGGGTATAATGTAAGGATCCCTGTACACTGCATCATTGATTTGCCGTTTAGAAACTTCATTGAGGGGTGGAGCTTAGAATATTTGATGGCTCATGAACATGGTTTGGCCAGCTCGGTACAGTTGATGGATATCATGAAAAGAGGCTAGCTCCTGGCTGGTTTTAAGACGGAAGCTAAGGTACACCCACTGCCTTCTCAAGTAGCGGCATGAGGAAAGGGCAGTTGAACATGAACAATCAATCCAGGGGTACCTTCCTCATTCTTTCTAGGGATCCTTCTTTCTAGAACACCTCCAGAATCCCAGGGAGAACGGCTGGTTTTTGAAAGGACGATGGTTGAAGTGAATGGGGGGAATCAAGCCCTAGAACTAAGTGGATGTCCAGGAAGGAAAAAAGGGGAAAGGAAAGGAAACAAGAAAGCAGAGGCCGCAGGGATCCTGTTTCAGGGCTATGCCACAAAGGGACATGAGGCATGGCCTGTGTGTCACTTAGGCTTCGGACTTGTTGGAACGGAAGGAATGCCTAGGACAGCGCCAGGTATCAGGTTCCCCTCGATTGGTGGTTTGGGTTGGGTTTTTGTTTTTGGATTTCAAGCCCTTGAGGGTGAGTGGGTTTCCACACCCACCGAGCACCGGACCGGACTCCAGTCTCGTTTGTAAAGGGTTGCATGGATGAGAACGCAAAGCAGGTGGTGGAGCTGACTGGGCTTAGCATCTTGAACTGAATCTGTGCATTGCCAACATGTCCATTTGGTAGCGGATCTTTGGACTTTAACTTATTGGCTGAAACAGGTTGGATTTTCTCAATTCAACCCACAAGAAGTTTGAGAAACTGTTTTCAGAGGGCTCGTTAGTGCAGCCAAGTTTTGATCGGTTAATTAGCTTGGATAGAAATAGATGGGTGCTTCTCAAGCTTGGGGGAAGTCTTGAGGTATGTGTTTCCTTTTGGTTTCCTGTTAAATCCCTCCAAAAAGGTCACAGGCTGTTACAAGTACCAAAAGTACCGGGGTGTTTACCAGCCCGTTTCATCCAAAAAGGGGGTCTTCTACTTTGAGACACTCCCCAAAACTCAACAGGAGCCACACGAGGTGAGCACATGGCAGCTTGGCTGCCGGCCACTTTGGCGGGGCGCACAGAAGCGGATCTTGGAGTCGGATGGACGGCCGAATTGGCTCCTACCCAGGGTATCTGTTTGCCGCCTTTTGTGGAAAATGATCGATCCCCCTCGTAGTGAAGGATTCCTT